TAATTCTTTAAGCTTTCGATTTATCCAGAGTATTTAGTAGAGAAGGGAAGTGCGAAAAGGAAATCAATTAATTTTCATATATAATATTCATTTTAAAATTTCTTTCTTGTGTGGACTGCATTTTGATTTTATAAGTTGTCACTCTACGTTATTTATACCAGTTACTCACGAAAGTCGTATTATTATTTGATAAATTTCGAAAACTAAAAACAGTTTTTGCAGAGAGAACGGTTCTCCAGACTATCTCAGCTATTGCAGCAAGTGCCGGGGTGTTCTGTAGAAGACGTAGAAAGGTTAGACCGAAGGATTGAATCTATGAAGAGTAACAAAGACTTTGGAAATGAAAAAATGAAAAGAGAATCTATGAAAAAATTGCTACGAACTGTGATAGCGGTTAGTCTTTTACAATTTTTGCGGAAAGATTTCATCGGCTTTAAGTTGGTTGTTAGTTAGTTTGATCCGGCCTACCGCCTCTGGCCATGTTATTTTTGTCACTTAAATTAATCATTTCCAAAATATCTTCACCGATTTTCAAATTAATTTTTATTGGTCTTTATATCAAAGCATCAACGATTCATTTGAGGAATAGAGGAAATAAAGATTTAAGGAACTAATCCAAAAACCATTTTTTCTGTTTCGAATAGGATGAAATGTTGAAGAATTATTAGGTTAAGGTGCCGTAGTTTTAATTCCAATTTTTGCTCTTTTCTATATGCTTTTTTGTCGGACTATATTTCAGTATATTTCAGACTTCAGTTGGTGAGCAGCACAGAAGACCAGTCCATCTCCGTTCACTACCTCCCATTCCAAGAAGGAAAGAACGTTCTGAAGAAGACTTCACAGATTTTGGATTAGTATTTGGTGATATCTAATTCTAGTTTTATTCAATAATGAAATTGTAAATTAATTTATGCAAACATGAAGCTGTGGCTTTACTTATGAACTGAAATGAATTATAGAAATGCGCAAATACATTTTTGATCAGTGCTCTGTATGTATATCTCATGGCTTGCATAAGATATGATAATAGAACTGCTTGCAAGGAAGCGATTATATAAAAAAATTAATGAGTCGATTGTAAATTATGAAGTGTAAGTTTTCTCGTTCATTATCTCGAGTCTACTTCGAGCAGGAAGCTCTTCATTATTTATTCCAGAAGTGAAGCTATACAAAAGCAAGATATCAAGTTGATTTCGTGAATGCATTGTCTGCGACAGCTTGTAAACTTCGCTTGCAGCGTGCAATGATTTTTTCCACTCTAACATTTGGTTTCATGGGCGTAATAACTGTCGGATAAGTCATTGTATCGTGCATTCCAAACCACTTCATTACCTCCATCATAAGATATGATAGAAGGTGCTGAAGATCTTCTCGAAGACAAGACGATAGTATAGTCCTTTGAGACTGCCAATCAACTGTAACAAAGTAGTTTAGCATATCGGCTGCTTCTTCAATTTCTTTCCATTGTTCGGACAGTTTGTTAACAACAATATCGATTTCGAGCTCGATTTTTGCCATTAATCGCGCTTGCCAATTTGATGAATGTATCATTAGCGATGTATACCGTGGCATCTGGAAGGGATCGAGAATAATTGATTTAACAGGCCTATGTATTTATAATCTCTGGAAAAAAATAGTGGTTACAGTGCACAGTGGTTATAGTTCATGCTAAATATTGCTTTTTTGGGGTTATGTTAAAAGTTCATGTTAAATACTGCCCCAGGATTGGTTTAATAACAATAAATTCCAATGCTCACTGTCATTAGCATTAATGAAGCACAAAAACAGTATGCGTATGTATTTATATCTCCTCTGTCTGTCCGGTGTGGTTGGTTTATTGGTTTTTTGCCTAATTAAGAAGTTGTAGTCAACAGAATGTCACAGATTTTTGGCTAAGTTTCGCCTGAATTAAGTAAAATTTCAAAAGATGCTTTTATATCGCAAGACAAAAAAAGTGGCAAGTATTCCTAAGTGAAATGTATATTTAATAGCGGTCAAAGTGCACAGCGGTTATAATTCATGTTAAACATTGCCTTTTCCGTGGCTTCTAATTGCGAACTGAGATTTCTCCACATATCGATGAAATTGATTATATCGTTGATACATTTCTCGATTTTACAAACTTCACCAAGACATTCCATTTTCATCCCGTAAAAATTGTTTCCATAATTCACTGTTTCCATAAATCTATTCCATACGAGAGTAAGATATTAGAGATGTTCTGAAAGTAATCATTGCGAATTCTCCCGAATTCCCGATCCAGTGACAGTTACTATACGGCCTTTTCTTGTACACCCCCGCTATAGTTATGACATCTACCCGGCGATTACCATGTGGTAAAACTTGTCTCGACATTCCTGTTACTCGATGGTTGAGGGTGAAAATGCTAAAGTTTGTTAGCTGTGAATACTGCCAGCAATATCAAATGATGGGGACGTTTACCAAGATGGCATCATTAACTTGTGACCTTTACAAACCGTAATTCTCTGTTGATGAATCGATATACAATGATCTTTTGAGAGTTTTTGGTGCAATAACTCATTTACTGATCAAATTGCTGATCAGTACATATCGATTTACTGATCAGTGTATATCGATTCCTCTGATTCTTCTCGCTAATGATCTTTATAGCCAACAAACCATACTGCGTATTTTCTTATCGCTGGATCATTTTAATTGTTCATTGTTCAAGCCTTAAGTTAGTACTGGCCACTACATTTCAGAAAAGCATGCATAAATGAATTGGTTTCATCAAACGGCATTGTTTTATCGTCACATTAAAATTCATAGTTGCAAACAACAGAAGACAAGCACTTAATTCTCTGTTGCTATCCTGTAAATCCACTATCTGTCACATTATTATCTGTCACATAATCTTAAAATCGATTCCCTTTCTTCGGTTTTTTTTTGATAAATTATTTCGATAAATTGGATAATAGCATGAAATATGATTTCAATTCATTTTTTTTTTAAAGTAAAGCAAAGTAGATAGTTGACAGATCAGATGGATTATTTATAAATCAGCCATAAATAAATGGATAAATTAATTATTCATCCCCATAAATATGAAATGTATTGCACTAATAATGTGCATGAATCTTTTTTTTGTAATACAATGATAAATTGCATGATATAAAAATAGTTTAAACAGTCAGTGATTCATTGCTTTTAAATATTTAAAATATTTTCCTTCTCCAAGGGAACTTTTGAAGTAAATTTCATCGTATCATCAACCCTTTTGCTAATTAGTTAGCTTAAATTCTAAGATAAACAATTTCTGCAATAACTGCTAATAATTCATAAAAGCAATGAAAACTTCAAATTGTAGTATCATTCATTCAATTTTTCTCCCTCCGTCTGAAAAAATATAATTCAACTGGATTAATTGCTTTTCAGGTTTGCGAAATGAAATTTGGATTTTGTACTTCAATATCACCGGTTGGTGCTAAACCAGGGCATTCATAGACCGAAAAATTGTTTTCATCTTCGGATGTTTCACTGCTGTCATAAATATCCGGAAGTGTTACTGCTCCATTTTCATCTGATATTACCTTCTGTTTTGCTTGCTGATAATGATGTAGCTGTGCCTAAAAATATCACGAGTAGAATAAACTGACAGTTTAAAAAGTACAAATTCAAAGAGAAATTTATTCCTTCATTAGTCTTAACTGGTGGTAGAAAATGATATTCACATTTTTTCCTTTTCCATTTTAGCCTCTCTCAGTCATCTTCGCTACAAGTAATTTGATTTTTCACAAATTATTTCCTTCTTAGCTCGTCTTTTCATATTATTTAGACTTGTAAGACCGTTTTTTCCTCCTTTTTAACGCTTTTTTAATGTTTTATTCAACATTCAATTTCATTTTCTCTATAGAAATGAGAAAAATTGTGTGGAAGAAGAAAAAATTCTCATATATGTGAGATTATTATTGTAATACATCATATCAAATCATAAAATGCACATTAAGGGGTGCGAGGGCCTTTTTTGTCGACATCCCTTGTCAATTGGAAAGAAATAAAGAATTAGATATTACCATTTTATGGTTAAATAATCATCAATAAATATTATATTATTACTTATGTACTGTTTTGCAAATATGAAAATTTTTTTTTCATCTATATTTTAGTATATTCTAGAATACATTTCAAACCAATTCATATTTATCGATAATTGAATTACTTTTTAACATACCTTATATGCCAGTCCTTCATCACCACCCTTCTTTTTCTTGCTTTTTCCAGGACCGGTAGGTGCGTATGTAAAATCACAATTATCAGCTGCAGATTTTTCAGATCGATCCCTGACATTTCATCGAATAAAGTGCAGATAAAAAAAAAGAAATTTAAAAAGTGCATACAAAACAAATAAAATGTAAAAAGCATTGAAAAGCGCTGTTTGTCAAATATAATTTATTTGGTATGCTGAATGATGAAATAAAATTTATCGAACTTACTTGAAAAAATAGTAACTGCCAGTTGCAACCCCAACTACCACTGCTAACATGCAAACTGTTGCTGCTGCTGAAAAAAAAAGAAACGATTCAGTTATGAATGCTAAAGTTTTTTTTCGCTATGAAAATCATCCGTATAACAAACATGAAGTGGACGAATAAATTTGTAAAATTTTATTTTAAAAGTTCAAAGAAATGTGATGAATGAAAATTAAACGAGAAATATGACGATTCTTAAATAAAATTAGAGGATTTCATGTTTTGAAAAATTGCTGAATATCGAAAATTGGTGTGATTAGTAAAATTTCAATGAAGCTGCTTACATCAGACATATTGGATTTAAAGATGATCATTAGGCTGGCTGTCAAATTATCTTGTTTGCCTAATTTGAAGTTATCAGTAATTTCGAAATGAAATGCTTAAGCAAACTAAAATATTTTGGTACTAAAAATTGAATTTTCAATGATGATAATATGAAGCATACCTAAAGTAAGGAAATTGCCAAGATGAAGAGTTGGTTTTAAGTTAGTTTGCTTTACTATTTGATGATCTACCCGTTTCTTCAATATTTCCCTGTGTTTCATTTGATTTGAAACTTTCGGCTCAATGAATCCCACATATTCACTTTGTCCTTTCTTCTGTGCCGCTATCAACTTTGTGGCTGTTCCTTTTACGGCTGCATTTTCTGTATTTTCAATATCGATATCGTACATATCGTTGCCCTCTGGTTCGCTATATTCGTTATCATAGACTGAAGAGTTTATGCATATTTTATATAAAGCATTTATTTTTGTTAAAAATAAACTGATATAAATTTGACAGGACTTAAATCTTGTCAAATTTAATTCAAAATATTTTAAAGATTTCTGTTTAAAAGTGATATTATTGGTACCGCATAAATGTCATTCTATTAGTTGGGAGCTATCAAATTTTGAAATTTAAAATTAATCGGAGTTATAAGGAAAAAAAGATAGTGGGGATAGTTTTAAATATGATTTTATCCATCATGAATGTTATTATAGATGATGTTATTATCAGCCAATAAAATGATTCTATTCCTTTTGGATGATTAATTATTCTTGTATACAAAGAATTAAATAACTTATTAACCGAACCGTACAGAAATAATTTTGAAAAAAAATGGAAGTGACTAACGAGACTGTTGCTTGTCTCTGTTAGTTCGCGTTAACATATTCATTAATTTTGCTATCTTTTGATCGTTGCCATACTGTAACAGTTCCGGTTCATTCTCTGAAATATGGAAATTAAAAATGAATTTTTCATTTAAATATTTGTCATAGTGTTTATTTGAATTTTTTTTAATTTATAGACTTGGAACTTAATTGCTAGCTTGGAGGTTTTAAGAAAATTGGTTTTAGCCTCCAGTCAATCGTTGCAAATTTTACGAAAAAAACTATCGGAAAAAGTACTGTAAAATTTCCCATTTTTTATAATTCCACTTTATGAACTACTTAGCTAAATATACTTAATTTAATGCTAACCATGTTCATCAAATAACTGATTTCTATTATTAATTATATATATATATAACACATATAGTTTCAATATACTCAAAGTTTAACGTTAATGTTGCTACATTATCTCACTGATATGAAGAAATAAGATCTTTGCAAAATACTGATCCATTTTGAATGATCAAAGCCAGAGAATTTTATGAGTCATAAAAAATCTAATGAGTGAGATTGGCATTTAGATTAAGCGAAAAAATTTTGATCTGATTATTGAAAGAAAGAAAGAAACGGACAGAGGAGGTTATAATCATTACAATCAATAAGGTTAAATGAACATTAATATGTGAAGTATTCAAATTAACATTAATACATGTAAATATATAAAATAAAGAATTAAAAATAAGCGGGTGCATTCGAAAAATTTTGTTTAATCAGTCTCTGCTCCTTTTTTCTTCCAGGATATTTAATGACATTGTATTTTGATATTTTTTGATTTATTATTCAAATAAAAAATTAGGTAAAAAAAGTGAAAAAAAATTCATTCATTTTTGCAGGAAGAATTAATATCTTTTTAAAGGATACAAATCATATTTTAAATAATAAGGAATGGGAAGTAATTACAGATATTTGAAGGAATATTGTTGGTCTATTCGCACTATTCCCTCTGTTTTGAATAGCTAAATCGAATATTTTTTGAAAATAGAAACTAAAAAATAGACAACATCAATCAAAAAGGAGTTCTAAATGTTTTTTGCTTATTTTTTAAGTTTACAAAGCTCAAATTAAACCAATACTGTTGTATTGTAAGTCTTTTTTTTCCAAATTGATGAAATATATATTATTTTAGTAGAGTAAATATTTCCATTTTTCCAAATTGATGAAATATATTTCCGTGGTAAATATTTTTCACTAATGCTTAAATCTTTAACAGGTGCATTTTTATCTCGACAACATGCCGAACAAACTTACATCGTCCATTACCACTCCACACGTTTGCTATCACAATTCCGGAAGTAACATTTCTCACTAGTATAAATTTCATTTCAAATTATTCGATAAATTCATCAGTCAAATTGATATAAAAATCATTTTATCAAGGAGAAAGAGTTTGACGAAAAATTCGATTTGTGTTTGATGCCTAATGATTGGTCAGTTAGTTTGGAAACCAAAACAAAATGAGATTTGAAATTTTCTGTCGTAGCTTTACTAAAAGCCTTATGCGGTTCCTTTAAAGATAAGTAAACATCAATTTTTCTATTTTTAATGGAAGGATAGTATTAGAATCTAAATTTATCTGTTCTTGGCTTCAGAACTGTAAGAGTTAGTTAAGATGTTATTTTCTAGCCCAGCTGAAGTAAGTTTTTAAAGCTTAAAGGAATTTTTATTTTTAATATTAGTAAAATGTGAATAATTAATGAAAAGGAAAGAAGCGTTATCTCACTTCATTGCTATTGTTTTCCTTCATTGTATTATTTAATTTCTCCGAAATATTTTAAGTGAATTTGAAATTTGGTTTTTGACTAAATTCCAAAAATTTAAATATTTTCTTTTTTATTCCGAAAATAAAATTAGAAAAAAGAAAGAAAGAGAAAAGATGAAAAAAAAGAGAGCGAAATGCTTTATATACTCAATCAGTTTGTTAATGAATATAGGATGTAAACAGAACTTGAATCCTTTATTTCAATTAGGAAATCTAAACTGATAAGAAATTTTCTGGCTAGCAATCAATTAAAGGAAATGGTGTTTAAAAAATTTACGGCTAGTGAATTTAATGAGAAAATAATGAATTCTTTCAATTATAGGGAAATTAATAAAAACTTCATTTAAGGTATAGAAAACCGTCTTTTTTCCTGTGCCATAATATAAGAATTCAATTAGTGCAGTACGGACTCAATCGTTTCGAAAAAATTGTAAATTAAAACTGAATTAATTATTAGAGGTAAGCGTGTAAAGTAGATAGAACTCATATTACTTGTAAATTATTGCTGTTACTTATACGAATTTTGTGAAATATGTAAAATACCCTATTGCGAAGAAAAATTTCACAGAAATTTCAAAATTCTTTTTTGCGTAAAAATAGGGCTTTTGTCAAGAAATATATTATATTTGAACAAATGCTTATTCACTACCTTTAAGGAACTTTAAAATACCTCATATTTCAACCTCAAAAAAACCCGCACATTAAACTGAATAACTAATGAAAATATTCAGATTTCCACGAATCAAATAAATTTATTATGAAAAGCTTGATTGGAATCTTTACTGATGACTATTTATAATTTTCATGAAATTATTTCATTTATTTTTTAGATTTATAATACTTTTGATTATCATTTTTCTTATTTTACTTTTGGTTCATTGATTTTTATCTTTCTCTTCGCTTTTGATTTCAAGGACGAATTAATTCAAATCATTTGAATATTGAAATGTTAAAAATTGGGCCAGTAATTTAGGATTATAACTGCTTCTCAACAGATGCTCACTAAACTTTCCCTAAATATGCTTATTAATAAAGAGAAATGATAATTGATGGTACAATCCAATAACGATTATTAATTTCATTCTAATATTTTTGTCTAAAAAAAATAGCAAGAAAGAAAAATTCACCTTGAAAATAAAAAAAGAATAGAAATATTCGATTTGAAAAAAATCCTAAATATTTTATTTGATTTTTTTTCCGGATTTATGCATGTGAGAGATTGCTAAATTTTCTAACACAATCCTTTTCCATTACACTTTTTTTAGTTTCATTTTTTGGAAGAAACATTTGTAATGGCATTTATGATTTTGTTATAACTGAAACGATTCCTTGGAGGAAAATTGTGAAGTGATGGATTATCGCGTTTAGAAGAATCCAAGAAATTTTGTTTTCTTTCCTTCTAAACTTGGTAGAAGCACGAAGATGAAATCAGGCATTTCGTTACTTCTCTCTTCTTCCTTCATCTATTTCTTCTTCTCAAATCATTTAGCACTTCCAAAAGCTTAATTAAATTTTTTTTTTCAAAATTAATAATCAAAGGAAAAAAATTGATAACACTACAAAAATGTTATTATTATAATTATTTTTTCTGCTCTATAATTGGCTTCCTACTTTTTATGTATTTCAAAAAAAGATGAAAGATACTTTTAAAATTGTGATTTAAAAAAAGAAAAATAAAAAATTTGATAAGGATATTGAGCAGAATAGCAAGAAATATTATCACATACTAACAAGAATGAGAATCAATACGTATTAGTGATAGAGTATGAAATTTCATCATTAACATTTATTTACAAACAAACAAATAAATAAACAATAACGTACCGATAGCATAGAATGATGCATGTGAATAGAGGAATAGAACGGGTAGGATCGGCCACCACATGCCGTCCGCTCCTTGCGATGACTGCGCTTAGCAAAGAGTAATTCCCGTAAGAAATGAATTTTCCAGTAAGCTTAGAAGCTAGTTGTCACTGCAGTTGCAGTACAACTATCCTCTCCTTTCGCGTATCGATCCTTGGAGACAGCTGAGCCGTCCGAATTCACTGAGCACATGAATTTGCTGCTGCTAACTGAAAAAGCCTATCTCGCCTTCGTTTGTGCCTTCCTTCTTGACGTCATTTCCTTTCTTGATAGTCATGTTTAGATCGACAATGTTTCCATTTGTATGAATGGATTAAACAATTGCGACACTTTTAAAATAGGCAACGATTAGAAATAGTTTGGAGAGAAATTTACAATTGCTGAAATTAATTAGGTAATAATGCTATTATTATTGTATAAGCAATGAACTATCCTTAAAGTATGAAATTAATTATAAATTTTCTGTTCTATTTGAGATACATACCACATTTCAGCGAATTATTCGTGTTCTTGCACTTAGCTGCTTTCCATAATGAAATGTGGATTTGCACGAAAAGCGCTCTTCTCTTACTTCCTTTTAAGTGCATTTTGAATACTGTATTGCAATAAGCAAATAAGGTTAAGTAAATGAATATGCTGAGCAGAGAGGTCAAGCAAATGCGTATGCTGAACCGATAAGGTTAAGCAAATATATGTGATGAACAGATAAAATCAAATAAACGTATATTTATCCTATTCCCAGCAAATATAATTTTTTTGACATATTTTTTATTCATTTATTAACTTATGAAAAAATAACTGATGGATTAATAAACAAATAAGAATTGTACTTTTTCTTTATTCTCTTCCAATAAGAATTATAGTTTTACTTTAATTATACATTTTTTTATTTAAAAAAA